GTTCAGCTCCACATCATCTAATTGGCCTATTCTGATTTTCTTTTCTAGAAAGAGTTTTACGAACAACAATCTCGGGAGCACAAAAAACAGATAGAAGGCCTAAAAAATCATGTCTTTCAGTTGACCTCACAACTCACAGCATTGAATGCAGCAGGTAGGTCTTTGCCAGCACTGGATATGTTATTGAATAAATAATGTTTCTTTGGTCTTTACCAGTCTACAGAAAAAAATTAAATGTTTGTTTCAGATTTGGGTAGATGAGAGCAACATAAAGAATACTTTGGTTTCTTACATTTCTCATGGAATTATCTGCTTTGCCCCATTGGTACTTCTGATGAGAAGCACAGTGAGGGCCCATTCACCCCACAGCATGCACATGCGTTGGTATTTTAAATTGAACCGCAATGTGGACTTAGGTTGAACTCGATGGACTTGTGTCTTTTTTCAACCTGACTAACTATGTGGTTTTAATGAACATTGCAGTGCATTATTTTCTTCACACTCCAGAAAGTGTCAGTTCCCTAGCACAGCCCCCTCCATCTTTACACATCATAGCTCTCTACTCTTCTGGGAATGTCTAGTTGCTGTCTGTGCTGGCCCAGCACTTCCGCTCCTCCCTAGCCCAGGGAGGGGGGAAGAACGAGGAATACTATAGAACAGGGACAGCCAATCTTTGGCCCTCCAGCTTTTGAGGAACTAAAAGTCCCACAGGCATTGCAAGACCGCCACCGGTATAAATTCCAGAGACAAAGGCATGTTGTGATTTGTAGTTTCACAGCAGTTTAGCTACCCCTGCTATAAAATGTCACTTGAGTGACAGCTGTGACTCTGCTCTGGCTGCTGACATCACATCTAAGATGGTGGCACTCATCACCAGTCCCAGACCTTAATGGTGTCTACACTAGGGAGGCTTTTACAGGTAAATAACATGCATAAAGTACAATAAATGCACATGTATTCTTATGTGAAGATTGTTGAAATGGATTGTCTGGCTACAGGGTCACTTAAAATCAGTTTCTGTCTTCCTGTAGGTGTCCACAAGTTACCGCAGTCACCTAAACTAGAGAATAAAGATAGTTGGAAAAGTGACCCCACGTCTAATTTGTCTCTGGAACAACTTGAACAACAGCTAAGAGCGATTACGCAGCGAGAAAAGCATTACAAGGTAACACTGGTACACCTATGACCATAATGTGCGTTCTATAAAGAGACCCTGTCACCTTGCCCAGTCAGAGTCTTTGCAGAGGGACCCCTGAGTCAATGATACTCTCCTTGCCAGTGCTTCCCCGCCACCTCCTTTCTCTGTCACAGCCAGCGTGTTGGATGCTATGGGGAGTGATGATGTTCCTCCTTTTATAAAGCATTTGGCTGCTAGACCCAAGCACTGTCACATGGGAGAAGGTCTCCATACCCAAAAGCATCAAATAATGGAAGGAGTGGTAGGTGAGTGCTGGCAAAGTGATTATTAGTGGACCGATAGGGCCCCTTTGCAAATACACTATCACTGTTTACCTTGACTTGGCCAGGTGACAGTGTCTCTTTAATACATTGGTGTTTGTTTAAAGTGAAATTAAACTCAGGAGTTAAATCTTAAAAATGCATCCAAGTACCTTAACTATTAACAAAATGTGTCTTATTTGTGTATCGCTTGGCTGTAGATCATCAAATTATCTCTCAATTGGTGCTGACACTGTCCTTCCTTCTGGAGGAGGGCTACTTTAGGTCCCTATGGGCCCTGTGTGTGTTGTAAAGTAGTCACTGCTCCATGCTCGCCCCTGTGATGTTAATACATTTCTCTAGAATGATTGTTTGTTTATACTGTATGCTTTTATAGGATAAAGGGTTCACATCTATGTAAAGTTAATTGGCCCTTTTAATATCTGAAGCGAACCTCCTATCTTAAGGTAGCCATATTGCTGTAGTGCTGTCACTTTTAAGGTGGATGAAATTTCCTGCATTAGTCTAAATATGATCTGTGTCCTCCTGCGGAGTCCTCTTGGGTACTAAGCCCAGGATGCTCATACGCCTCATTTTCTGCCCAAGTCACTATTGATCCCCACCCCTTCCTGGATTTGAGCCTGCCCCTTGTCCTTCAACTTGTGCTAAAGACTCTACTACACACACAAGATGTGCAGGGGTTAATCTTGACTTGGGCAGAAGTTGAGCTTCCTTGTATAGCCTGGGATCCAGTGGGGCACTGCATGGACAAAGTGTCGAATGTGAAGCTTAACACAGAAGCTTAAAATTACCACAAGATTCCTGCACTTCAACTCTGTTGTCATCACAGAAATGCGTCCTCCCAGGTTCTTTTCAAGGGAACTACATTGCAGACATGCTGCACAGTAAGCTAAATATAGAAGAGAGAACTATAAGAGATGACCTCAGAGTTTTCTCTATAGTGACAGTTTATATGGGTTGTTTGCTTAAATTTGGGGAATTTACATGGTCACTTTCAAAGAGATGGGAACAGGAAATGACAATTTAAAAGAAGTATCCATGTGTCAGCAAGAATAAGTAATACACAGACAGTGGTTCAGTTCATTCAGGTTACTAATTTACTTCTTCAAAGTCAAGCCGGAACAATACCACTTGTACCGGATTTCACAGGATTTTAGCTGTAGCCTGGCAGGATTGCTTTATTGGGCGTTCAGTGTTGTCCTGGACCACAGCAAGCAGATCTCTTACATGATTTCCTTTTGTAGAATTTACTAGATAGTATTGATTTCTGTGCCCTGCACACTCTAAAGCAGGGGTGCCCATAAGGTCGATCGCGATCTACCAGTCGATCGCATTGCGATCACTGGTAGATCGCGATGTCCTCTCCTCCCGCCGGTGGGGCTTCTCTGGATCCCCGATGCTCTCCCCATTTTTATGCAGTGGGGATCCGAGAAGGAGTGAAGGAACCGCTGCGACGGACGGAGCCGTTGCCACAGAACTAAGGCCGAGCGGTGAGGAGAGAGATACTCGGCCAGGTTCCGGCAGCCGGCGACTCTCTCTCACCTCACCGCTGACATCTATACACAACGATTTTACTTGATACGGCGCCATCCGTAGTCATTGCGAGCACCCATTTTTTCATATGGGAAGTCCGGTAAGGTGTGCTACAGGTCCTTGGACATTTGTACACATAGTACTATGTGTCCCCAGTTATGAATGAACAGGATGTGATTTACATCACTTCCTGTTCATTCATGAGTTTCTCAATGGGGAGAAGCACTCTGTACAGAGGCTCCTCCCCATTCAGAAACTGGTGATAGTAAATATTTTCTGAATGAATGAGAAGGCTCTGTGCTTTCCATTCATTTAGAACAGCGGCTGCAGAAAAAGAGATTGAGGACTTTGTGTCCAATTTCTTTTTCTATTTTAAAAAGGAAATATCGGGGCTATTTAGGGCTTACGTTCTGGAGGAGGTGTGGGGTTGTATTGAATGGCACCGGAGCCATGCCCACAGTGAGATCGCTTGCACAGTGCGATAAGTTACCGCTAACACTTTTATACTCTATTTAGCTGTCTGTAATTCCTCCCACTGGTCACCAATGGAAGATGTATTCTTCCCACTGACCACCAGTGTAGAAGCTTTCTTCTGACTGACCACCAGTACAATGTGTCCCTACTCTCAATGACCATCAGTGTAAATGGGGGGGTCATTCTTTCACTGACCATTATTGTAAGAGGTCTCGTCTCCCAATGACCACTGGTGTAAGGTGGTCCTTCTCCCAATGACCACTAATCTATTGAGTCCCTTCTCCACTGCAACCAATGTAAGGCCACTTTTTTCTACTGACCATTAATGTAAGAGGGCAATTTTTCCACTGACCAGCAGGGAAACAATACCATTTCTGCATTTCTTTTCTGGCCAAATTACTATTTCATTTAATTTTTGGGGAAAAATATGTCAAATAAAGTGGTTGTCAAATATGCAAAAAATACACTGCGCTCTATTGTTTCATGCTACTATACCATGAGCTGTAGATATTGTAGTACAGGGCTCAAAATTTCATCGAGGGAGGGGGGTGCCGCTGGCAGGACCAGCGGGGGTCAAATGCCACCGCTTCTGTTCTCTCTTCTCTGGCCGCAGTGAAGGGAAGACAGCCGAGCTGATACTTTTCTTTGGTCAATGCAGCTACAGAATGGCCTGAGGACAAGAAGCATCAGCTCGGTGGTCTTCCCTTCACTCCGGCTACCTGCAGCTTCCTCAGCTTTCATAGGCTGGGTAGAAGACTGCAGCTGCTATTGGCCAGCGGGAAGTTTTTGCAGCACGGGACCTGAAGGATACATCTCTGTACATCCCCGCCAGCACCAAAAGAGAAAGAGGGCAGATCAGCTATGTGCACTGTAAGTCTCTCTTCTTTCTGCCTTACACTGCTGACCTCTGTGCGTTACATTACTGTCCTCTGTACTGTACGTTACATTACTGACCTCTATACTGGGCGTTCCATTACTGACTTCTGTACTGCTGACTTCTGTATTCTACGTTTTACATTACTGACTTCTGTACTGGGCGTTACATTACTGACCTCTGTACTCTGTGTTGTTACTGATCTCTGTGCTTTGCGTCACACCGCTGACCTGGCGGAGTTAAGGCCGGGGCAGAGTAGGGATTAGGTGGGGCAACTGGTGGCGAGTAACTCTTAAGGCCTGGCTAGTAGCTCAGGGCCTGAAATTTTGAGCCCTGTTGTAGTATAGTAATCATTGATAGGGGTTCCCTGAGATGTAAAGTTTATTTCAAAGGTTCCTCCATGTTAAAAAGGTTGCTCTGATAGATTCTCCATTTGAATTTACTGATGTGAAAGTGGTAGCTCTGTAAAGTCATACTTGGCTTCTCAACAAGAAGTCTCCTGGATCATGTGTAAAACATATTGCAGCATATTTTTTATAAATCGGTGAATATTCAATTTCACTGATCGTCTGCCATTTTCATACCGCCGAACATCACCAGAGGATCTTCCCCTTTTTATAAAGACCTTTTGATGCTTGGCAGATCATTTTTTTTTTTGCTTCTGTTCTTTTAGCTCCTGGGTTTCCTAGTCTTTATCAATAAAGCTAAGAGAGGCCTTAATATTTTTAATACACAAATGTTACATTTAACAGCCTTTTCTTAGAGAAATACAGGGAACTTCAGACAATAATGGCAGAAGGTTACCACATCTAATTCTTCTCCTTAATGGCTTAGGTTCTGAAATCTTAGCTGTAAAACGGGTTGGAGCTGGTCCATGTGTCCTACAGCGAAGTCCTCAAATGAATAATGGGCTGCACACCAAGTATTCCATTGTTTACTAAAACTGTATTGCTTCAGAAATATGAACAAAAAAGACCTGTCTGGGACCTTGCTTTCTGATGCGTTGTACCTGGTGACCGGCTTTATCATCACGGACTGAAACAGATCAGTGAGGGAGGTCCCAAGTGGGGCTTCATTGTTTGTCTGTGGAACAATAAAGTTTTAGTAAATGCTTGAATATACGTGTTGTCTCCTTCTTACAGTGTTGGTTTCCAGGCTGTTATGCCGATTCACTGGCTTCAATATTTAGAACTAAAGAGTCAGAAAAAGTCAGTAATCCTCATCTATATATTGGTTTTGAGTCAAGGACTTTAAATATTGAAACAGGAGGGCCAGCATGACGGCCAGACAACCAGCATTTGCCCAAGTCAACAATGGCAGCCCTCGTTGTTGGGGGGTTTTACGTCATTTTCAGGCCTAAAATGTGTAATATAACATGGGTGCAAAAAATGAAAAAAGGGCCTCAGTCATGAAGGGGTTAAACATTCACATTTTGCATATGGCAATTTGGAAGACTTTCTGCTTGCAGTGACCACACAATTAGCTCTTGTCAAAGGAGGATTATAGTCTAAAATTTCCAGGAAAAAAAAAAAAAAATTGGACATACAGTATGTATCAATCTGTCAATTTGAGTAGGAGTTGATCTTTATCCAGAGGAGAATGTTTGTTTCTACTGATGCACAGCTTTGTTTACTGGTTAAAATTCCTTTAATGATGTAAGCATTTTACAAATGTCATTTCTATGGCAGGGACAGACTACATTAAAACCCTGCAAGACAAGACTTCTTGCTCATGAGAGAAAATATACACAACTAGATCTGGAACAAGTGACCTTTTGTGTATCCATTTTTAAATCTGGGTTTTATCGTCCTCTTCACACAGTGGAA